TGGATTTGGAAATATTTCATATGGAAAACCACCAACATTTCGTGAATTTAATAATTTTAATTCACACCGTATTTCTCCTCTAAAATATGTAAGCAATCAACATGTACAAAATGTATCTATTGTGAAATTGAATCTTCTGTAAATTCAAAAGTTTTTTCTGAATTTAACAAAATAATACCAGTAATAAATGGAGAAATAAAAAAAATTGAAGAAAGACTTACAGAGAAAATTGATGAATTTATAAATCATCTAAGAATAGAATTTGAGTTTAATATAAAAGAAATGTATGAAAAAGTAGAAAAAGATATAAAGTAAGAAAAAAAGACAAACAAAAGATTTTATTAATTCAAAATAAAATTATTTGGGTAAAAATGTTTGTACTTATAAAAAGAAAAATAAAAACCCATAAAGGGAGCATTACAATGATTGGTTACTAGTAATCATTGTGAGGCTTGCTTTCATGGTATTATTTACATGATGTCAAAGAAACTGGTAAATGCATCAAGACTAAATACAAGAGAAAATACTAAACCACTGAACTGTATTAACTATGTTGAAAAACATTCTAAGAAATATCCCAATGGAAAATGTATTTACAGCCACAATGCAAATGAATTTCTTTGGAGAGGAAATATTGTTCATTGGTTGAATAATCGACAAGAAAGAATTCAACAGAATCAACTTTATTATGAAGGAGATGATGAACTTTTCAATTTCCATATAAATCAAATAGAGGTGAAGTTGAATATGTTCCCTATTCTTTTATTTATGGATAAGGCAAAAGAATATAAATATGTTGGTGTTTGCAATCGTTTGAAGTCGTTTTTAAGAAATAACTCAAAGCAATAAAAAACCCTCATTTACAATGTGTGTACAATGTGTGACATACCATCTTCTACAAATTCTTTTACATGCGTTTGTGTACAAATAGAAGATTGGATTAATTGGTTTTGGGACGACAAAGTTGGTGAAAAGACTGAGTCATATTTGCGATTCTTTCTTGTCGATGATATATTGAAACGAAACAATTTATACCATCAGTAAATTGGACTTTGGCAAAATTTAGAATGTGTAACATACAAGTTGGGTCAAGTTTTTATCCATGTCTTTGTTTACAAATAGAAGATTGGCTTAACTGGTTTTGGGATGAAGAATTTGGTGAAAAGATTGATTCCTTTTATCGTTTTTTAATGTGGATGAAGCATTGAAGACAATTTGTATCATCAGTAAATTGGACTTTGGACTTTCCATATTATCATTAAAAATTGGACTTTGGACTTTCATCAATGTAATTATTTTATATTGTATTTGAAATATATCTTTTTTATAAAATCTTCTTGTTTATATATTTTATATTACTCTTATCCACTATTCTAATATATATATGTATATTATCACAGGCTCACCCTTCTCTATTTTTATGTTTACTACCGCTGACTGCCTCAAAACGATCCCCGGTTTTTATTATAAGATGTATTATGACTATTTTTAGACATAATACATTTTATAATAAAAAAACTTGAGCCTGCGATGATATATATATATATATTAGTTAACTACTAGTATGACTGTTCGGAAAATGGCAAAGTATTGCCCAATATTACTGATTGTGAAGCTCCTGTATTTCGGAGTATTTTAATTGGAACATAAACTGGTTGACTGTTGGAGTTAATTGTGACATTACCATCATGAATAAAAGGATTAAAAGTTTACATATCACTGTCATTGAAATCTTTGTGCTCGGTTCCTGTGATATTACGAGTGGTTTTGTTTACAGATCTATTTGTGTTGTGTATATTTTGATCGGATGTTCAAAGAATTCTCATCGGTTTTGGTGGTGGTCTGTTTGATTTCAACAAATAACATTCAGATTTTTTGTGTCCTTTTCGTTTGCAATAATCGCAGCAAATTACTTGTTGAAATGGGGAAATACCGGGGGAATATTGCTTTCCTTGGTATTGCATGCTTTGGAAATTTTGTTTTGTTTCATTTCCCTAGCCTTGTAAGTTTGGTCTGCAAAATTGTTCAAAAACTGCGATGAAAATTGTGATGAATGTGTTTGTTTCCCATCAACTGTGTTTTCAGTGTTTCTTGGCGAAAGCGGATGTGGGTTAGTTTTAACTGCAAATTTATGAGTAAAGGCGCATAAGCGACTGGTTTCTTTTCTCCTTTCTTATTTAATTGCCAAAGAACTGCTCCTATACCATACGACGATGCGGCGGCTACCAAAACAGTTCGCTTCGTTGGGTCATAATAAGCTAAAACTGGTATTGAACTTAATTCAGTTTTCATCTCTTCAAAAGCTTTTTGTTGAGCACCTCCCCACTGAAATTCATTCTTTGTACTCAATAGATCTCTAATAGGTTTTGTTTTTTCAGACAAATTTGGAATGAATTTTCCCAATTGATTAACCATTCCCAAAAATCTTCGCACATCACTCACATTTTGTGGCACTTCCATACCTTGTACTGCTTCAATCTTTTCTGGGTCTACTTGAATTCCATCTTCACTCACTATATTACCAGCAAACTTTACCATCTTCTTAGCAAACTCACACTTCTCAGGATTTAGTGTTACTCCAGCACTGTCAAATTTTTTCAGCACAGCTTTCAGTCTACTGTCATGTTCATTTTTTGTCTTTCCACGAACAAGTACGTCATCAATTATGCTTACTTGACCATCTTGTTTCTCCAGCAGCTGTTTCATCCTTTTCTGAAAATGCTCAGGTGCAGATTTAATACCGAAAGGCATTCTGTTGAAACAGAATCTTCCGAACGGAGTAATAAATGTAGTTAACAAACGAGAGTTTTGTTCTAGTTTTTCTTGCCAGAAACCAGAGTTACAATCTAGCTTCGAAAATTATTTTGATCCTCTTATTTCTGCCGAAAGACTTTCGATCTTCGGAAGTGGATAAATTTCTCGCAAGACCCACTCATTTAACTTTGTGAAATCAAGACAGATCCTTATTTTACCATCTGCTTTTGGAACAACAACCATACCAGCACACCAATCGGTAGGAATATTAACCTTTGAGCTGGACGTCCCAACAATGGCTCTTTCAAATTTTTCACAATATAAATATCTTGCTCTGTTGTTTTTGAAGTAGCAGTTCTCAATGTTCTCGAATTTTTCCCTTTACTGACAGCTTTGCTTGATTTGGCACGAACAATTCTTTATTAGTTGATTGCATCCGAGTTATGCCTGTTTGCATAAACACCGGTTCTGGAATCACCGTCACATCAGCGCCCGTATCAATCTTAAATTTCACTGTAGACTTTCCTAATAATAAGTCGATTGCCCATTTTCGCTCATTTTCTGTATCGTTAATTGTCACAAGAAAAAAATCTCCTAGGGAATCCGTGCTTTTGTCATCAACTGATTGAATTTTTGCACTTGAGTTACTTCTGCATACCACTGCAAAATGCGTTTGTTTATTACACTTTAAACAAGTTGTACTGTTTGCTGGACAATCCTCTCTTTTGTGAATTGTTGATCTTCCACATCGAGAACATTGACGGTTTTTCTTTCTCGATTGTTGATCGGGACTCCTATTCTGATTCCATTTTAACTTCGATTTTTGTGTCGTATCGTTACCTTTTCGTTGATTTGTTATTACGCGAACAATCAGCCCATGTTCGCTGTCTCCTTTTAGAATATCGTGATGGTGCTTGACAAGCTCCGATGATTTCACCTCCCTAATAGCTTTCTCCCATGTTAATTTATCATCTTGCATTAGCCTTTGTGAAAGGTTTGCATTTTTGTATACCGACGACAATTCTGTCTCGTATCAACTCGTCTTTCAGTGTTCCAAATTGGCAAGTTTCCGCCAGTTTGTTTTAAATCTTCCACAAAGTCGATGACTGATTCTTTTTCACCTTGTATTCGTTTATTGAACCGAGCACGCTCGAAAATTGTGTTCGATCGACCAACAAAGTGCGATGCAAATTGTTCTACAACATTTCCGTACACCATATCTCTTTCGCTTATTTGAAAGCTTTTTAAAAGATCATTGGTATTGCCTCCCATAGCTTATACCAAAGTATTGATTTGTACTTTATCATCTTTTTCGTCTAAGCCAACTGCGATGCGATAACATTCAAATCGTTCAATCCATCGCTTCCAATCTTCGGGCTTTTTTGATTCTAATTTTTCTGGCAATGGAATTTGTGTTTGAAATGCCATTTCTTATTTATCTCCACGTCTCTTGTCCACTGGTCTTTACCATTTTAGACAGAATCCCATCGCTACCACCATGTAGAGTTCTTATTAAGTGCCCTCTTATCTAAATGTCCTCTATATATATATATACATTATAAGCGGAAGTAATATTCAACAGGAAGTGATGTCTACACAATGCTGACAGACTTTACAATTGCTTAATAATGGGAAAATGGCAGATGTTTCAAACTGCAGAGACAAACAAAATGAAGCAAGAAATGAAAGAGCAATTGACAACAAAGAAAAATCATTGCATGATGGAGACAATTTCTCACATATAAATTCTATGGAGATGTGAAATGGCATCCACTTATTTATTACATAAAATTTTATCAACTAAGAGGCTACCAGGCATTTGATGTATTTACTATAGTGCCATGACTTAGATGTCTTACTATACACACATAGTCAACATTATCAAACATTTTAAATGAACATTTTTATGGTAAACATGTTTCGGCATGCTTATGCCATCTTCAGTACATTGAGTGAAGGTGATTATGCTATTTACATGGTATATATATATATATGTGTGTATGTGACTATCGTTAAAGGGGTAGTCTGACCTTAACACAACTTTCGCTCATATGAAAGTGTATATTGTTCTTACCTCTCTCACGAAATCTAGGTTTCCAATTCAAATTTAACTCGAGAAATAATGCCTTAAATGTGTGTATTTTGCCTCTTGTTCGATCGCCATTGTGTACATGTGCTGCCGCAGTCCAGCAGCGGTTTTTCGTCGTGACGTCACTGCGCGGTGATCGTTGTCAACATAAGACAAAATATACTAGCAAAAGTAGATATTACGCATAAGCATATTCATAGTTGCATTTTATTTTCTAAGTTTTTAAATTATTTTGCGCAATGGATACGGATTACTCAAACGATTCCTCTAGTAATTATTCTGGAAGCAGTGTTTCACACTACGAAGAAATGGTTAACGATCAAAACATGATTCAACCATATGCTTATGAGCCGATTGAAACAGACTCTAGCGACGAGCCTATGGACGACTCCGACGAAGTTGCCGCTGCATCATCGACTGAATCCGTATCGGAACCAAACAGACTTCAGGATAAATTCTGGTAAATACTATTATTTTACTCGTTTCTGCAATTTATGTCGTTTTTGTTTTTACATGTTTCATAGCACGGATTACGCTGCCGAATTATGTTACGCGTACTTCGAATATGACATTACGCTTGAGTTTTCAACCTTTAAATATTTTGATATAAAATGATTATTTAGTTGCTATTTTACCGGAATAGGTGCACATGTAGCCATTGTCAAATCATGGATAGGGTGGAAGAATGTGTTTGTTGCAAAGAAATTTCAGCTGTTGTAACAATGAATGAAGACTCAGCACAATTTGAGGGAATAGATACTCCAGACTGTATTACAGATAATCCTGTTTTTCGAAATCTTTGTTTGAATTATTGGGTATTACGACTGGCATGGAGTGAGTACAAACAACACTATGGTTCAAGAGCTGAAGAAGGACCTGAACACAAAAGACAAAGACATGTGGCTTACAGGCAACTGGTTCGATGGTGTTGGAATGTATTGGGCAAGGAAATTAGAGTACCACTACCATCTTGTGCTGTTAGCTGCATTCGAGCACATTTCCCACCACCAGGTCTAGAAGAGGACTTTGTCTTTGAGGGTTTTAAATTTGGTGATGAATAATAATGGTAATGTAAATTATTATAGCCATATTTATAAGTATCGTTAATGATGAATTACTAATAAATAAAAATATAAATTGGATTTAGTAAATGAACAATAAATACAAATTATAATGGCCAAGCCAAACCAATTCTTTATTTGTGCTATGCAAGGATTTTGGTGTACATAATTGAAAAGTGCCTTTGCTAATGAATTTGCATAGCAAAACAAAAAATTGGGCTACTTTACTATTAGAGATTCTCTTATTATTAATAAATATTGATATATACATAAATATTTTTGGGGACTATTTACCCATTCTTGATTTGTGTGCTTGTATAACACTTTCTTTGTTTGGCTTTTCTATGGATGCAATATTTCTTGGAATGTTTGCTGGTAAAGAAATCTTGTAATGTACATTTTTTACATTAAAACAGCAGACATCTTCCATCATACCTTGCACAAAAGAATATGACTTACTCGCCATAATTGGCTTGGCTACCCAATTTTTTCGCCCTTTTGGGAACACGATATTATATCGCTTTTCCCCTTGCTGCTTTCCACATTGAACTTGTGCTTGTTTTCTGCCAGTGTTTACATTGTGGTCTATCACTGCCAACTTGGTTCTTGCAAGCATACCTTTGTACGAAAAGTGAAGACGTTTGGGTAAGTATTTTAGGAGAAGTGAGTGGTAAACCTCAAGTTCCCCAGTGTGGTGAAATTCTGTTAGCTTTGTTAAGTCTTTTAATAGTTTTTTGTTAAGTACGATTTCTTCTAAAGCAACATGAGCAGCAGAGCCATTTTCTAACCACTTTGTTTTTCTTTGTTTTCTTTCAGAAAGCCGACCATGGGCACTTTTAAAGTATTTTCCTCCTTCCACTTGTGCTTATTGACAACATGATTTAATATGGAAACCCATTTTTCTTGCAACAAATCTGCATCTCCTTGCAAGACTGAGAGCACCACCACAAATGGTTGGATACAGACTGCACCCATTTGAGTAGGGGTTCATGTTTCTGGGCTTTTTTTGACAACTTTCTGGTAACCCACTTTGACAAATGCCACACATCAAACTGATGGATTATTGAAGGATATTTCTTCTTCAACTCAGATGTGATTTGAACATGACGATCAGTTGTCAATGACCTTATCTTCACATCTTGGTTGATGAGTTTGTTGAGAGACCGTTGACAACCTTCATTTTCCATGGCATATGAAGAAGAAACCTCTGATACATGAACCAAGGAGAAGTCAAGAATTTTTCCAGAACTTTCGTCCATTAAAGTGTAAGTTCCATATTTGGCATTGTGCCCAGGACTGTCAGATCGTCCATCACCACATAAGTTAATTGCCTTAGCTTCTTTTATTATTTGCAATAAATTGTTTTGTTGCTTTTCATAGGTTGAATTTATGACTGGGAATACAATTTCATCTTGAACTTTATAGAATTGATACTTATTCACAAAAGTCAAATTAAATGCCATGGAAAATTGCTTCATTGGCTCAAAAGTCTCCCCGGTTAATATTATTGCTGCAGGAATCAAAACATTTCCAGCTGGCTTGTTGTGAAGCAAAGGCTGTGATGTCCAATGATGGGTATGATTTTTGTTGCATGTTGCTCTTACTTCTACCATGCTGCCAGTTGTAGATTTTTCAATGTCACAAAGAGAACCACATGTTTTGCAATTGATAAACAACTGATCAAGCATACTTTCAAACACAATAAATTTTTTCTCATTGTTAAGTGTCCCTTCAATGTCACTTGAGTCAGATTCATCATCAGTGCAAGTTTCCGGGCATAAATAGTCCTCATCACTTCCTGATGACCCACAACTGTCTGAAGATGTTGCATCATTGTTAATTGTCTTGAATGATTCTTCTTCTTTTTCTTCCATTACTTCATTTTGGGCCATTATTTTTTTACATTTTAATTGACTACCTTTGTTTACATTTTTTGATTTCAAAGGAGGTCCTTTATGAATTTTGGAACGTTTTCCCTTTCTTTTTCTTTTCCGTGGGCAAGGGTTTGAATAGCAATGCTTCGCTTTGATATCATATCACATTGGATTTCATCGACGAAAATTTTTGGTCGCATTGTGTTTCAACACTTCCGAAATTTGTAACATCAACATCAGTCGTATCCTCCATATGCTCAATATTGGAGGACTCTCTAGGCTCATTACTCTGCTCTAACAAGCTCCACACTTCCTACATAGAATAGACATTAGAACATCTAAGTATATGATGGAAGGACAACGGTGTTTAAATTTTTTGAATTACAAAGTACAGTACCTGTTGTCGTGCATTTTTTTCTCTTGTTTGGGCTCTATTGCTTGACAACTCACGTTCCTGTTTCCGTTTTATGAATGGAAATATGGACGGTAAACTACCAGGTTTTAGCGTCTTCTTTGCTTTCATGTTAAATAACTCTTTTAAGGAGTTTTGAAAACAATCAGGCCTAAAATGCGCGCTGCAAACGTAACATGAATTTGCTTTCGGTAGATTTTCGCGTCTGACACGACTTAGCCACTTTCGACGAAGATTTTTGTCGTTTGGCAATCGGTGAAATGATATTTCGCTCCCTTTGGTTTTCTTCGAACAATTGTTACATCCTGGTACCATACAGTAGGGCATTTTTACAATGGTAATAAAATTAAGTGAGACAATTGCGTCTTTAAATCTGTGTTTGTATTGTGATTTGTATTTAAGTATACCCGCCAAACCGCGCAGTGACGTCACGACGAAAAACCGCTGCTGGACTGCGGCTTCGCTTGCATGTACACAATGGCGATACAAAAATACACACATTTAAAGCATTATTTCTCGAGTTAAATTTGAATTGGAAACCTAGGATTTCGCGAGAGAGGTAAGAACAATATATACTTTCATATGAGCGAAAGTTGTGTTAAGGTCAGACTACCCCTTTAAGTGTATTAAATTACAGAATTAGTGTTAGATATTATATTATAGGTTAAATATTGTATTAACGTGGTATATTTGTTTGTTGAGGTCTGGTTTGAGTTTTTTAATGTAGAGCGCTTCTTTCAGTTTAAGAGAAAAAGGAGAGATGGCGAGTTGTCTCAGCAATGTAACGGGAATTACATCCCGCACATGAAAATTCATAAACCACGCAAGATTTGAGTAGAGATGGAATACTGTTTTTAAAAGTAAAAAGATTTTATTTTGTAAGATGAGAAGACCAATTTGATTTTTTAATCAACACAGAAGCGTTTTGTTAACTTCCAGCATAATAGCATAATATGATTATGCTTAAGGTGATTATGCATAAGGTGATTATGCTTAAATAGCATCACCTTCACTCGATGTACTGAAGATGGCATAAGCATGCCAAACATGTTTACGATAAAAAAACTCGTCGTTAATTTAAAATGTCTGATATCTATCGTGCTTTTAAGAAATTATGGAAATATCATACAAGACTTGGCACATAAATACAAAGGGAAGGTTTCCCTGTCCGACTTTCGATCACTTGAGAAGCTATCAACGAAGAAACGCAAAGACGATCTCGATGTGAATTTCTTGAGGGATTGTCAGTCATTTGAAGTTTTTCCGAAATTTATTTGCTTCCCTCTTCCAAATGTTAATGCCCGGGATGTCCATGCGATTCGTAAGCGATTTCTTCGCTCTGCTGTATTAAAACGGTCAAAAGAAAAGAGGAAACTTGAGAATGATATAGACAAGATATCATCGAAACTCAAAGCAATACTAAATACAGTCGACTGGCACATTCTAGAAAAGGCTATAGCTAAGACTATTACGAAAAAGATAAACACACTCTTATGTAACCACAGAAAGAAGTTAAAGAATCTCACACGTAACAAAACGCAACCTTTCACACACAGAGAAACCTTCACAAATCTGTCTTCACATAAACTAAAACCTGATCAACTCGACCTACTCAAGAACGGACTATACTTCTCCATAAGACCTCCAAGACTCAACGATGCTGAAATCCTCGCAACATTTGAACGGATCAATTACACTATACAAAACAAGCTCCAAAACCAAGAAGATTACATCCACGTAAAGAATGAACTCATCCACATTGCTCAAAGCTACATTTCCTCATATACTCCGCACCATCAGATCTCAAGAAACATCGCATACTAAAGGACATTAGGAATAATAAGAACATTATATTGTTAAAACCAGACAAAGGCAACGGAGTAGTCATCATGGACAGAGAAGTATACAATAGCTCATGTTTAAAAATTATTAGCAATAAATATAATAATAATAGCTAATCTTTATTAAGGATGCCAACATCACTAAAAAGTGGTTTACAGAGGGGTCCTCTAAAAAGTAACTAAATATAATATAACTACTTAAAAATAAAAAGAGAGAATACACATCAAAAAATATGAAGATAAAACTACATCATTTGAAAATTAACATGCTAAAAACGAAACTAATTAAAATAGTGCTTTTTTGATACCACGCTTAAATTGGCTTAAGGTGGGCACATCTTAGGGAAAGGGGTAAGGCATTCCAAACGTCCGCTGCAAAATTTATTGTTATCCAGTGCCCCCATCTTCTGTGTGCGAATGATTTGCGGATATTTCGCTTTGATCGTGTATTATAGTTACTGTTGAAACAGCAGTGAAAAGTGTGCATAAAATGGTTATTAACTACCTTAAACATGAAAATAGCACGATGCTCGGCTCTCCGCCTTTCTAGAGGTTTCCGATGGAGCCTTGAAAGTGCATCGCTCGCGGAAGCAGTAGGGGGAAGATCTAAAATGATTCGCGCAGCCTTATTGTGAAGGATCTGTAGCTCTGTCATAAGTGTGGTGTTGCCCCGGTCTCCCCATATTATATCGCCGTAGTCAAAAAGGGGCAGAACAAAAGAACAAAAGAATTAAATTAAATTAAATTAAATTAAATCCAAGTTAAATTACTAGACAAAGACCCCACACTCTCTCGAGAAGCTAAACTACAGTGCTTTCTTAGGAAACTCAAAAAACAGGGCTCTGTTGACAACAACACCTATTCCAAGATCTTTCCTTCAGGCTCACAACCAGCAAGGTTCTATGGCCTCCCTAAACTCTATAAACACGTAGACCACAGCACACCACCTCCACTAAGACCAATAGTCTCTTCCATAAACTCTTACAACTACAAACTATCGAAATACCTATACTTAGGGCTCTTTCCACTCATCGCAAAACGTACTCGCAAGCTCGCTGCGAGTGCTGCGAGTAACTCGCAGCGAGCTAACCATGAGCTGGAGCATAGTTAAAATATTTCAACAAAATTTTTTCATCGCGCGAACTAAATGTCCATTAGCCAATAAAATTTGTTGAAAATATCACGTGACTAGTCTTAAAACCAAAATGGCTGTAAACAGTGAAGCATCCGTGTGGACCGACGCGAAGATTAAAATACTGGTGGAAAGTGTTAAAAAATATAGAGTGCTCTTTGATGTCACTTATAAAGAGTACAAGAATAAAGGAATGAAAGAGAATACGTGGAAGAAAGTCGCTGATGAGTTGGAATTTCCAGGTTAGATGAAGTTTTAACTTTTACAATTTTATCAGGTGTTGCTAGTTTCTTTCCCAGTGTGCTCGAAATTTTTAATTATTTGCGTTTTCCTTTCTGGTTTTATACTTTTTACATTCCAGATGTTTTGAAAAATGATGACAACTAACCCCTTGCTTTGTGGGTCCTGACATTATTTTTAATATTTAGTTCACGTTTGTCAAACAAAATGGAAAGGACTTCGTGACACGTTTTCAGAAAACATCCGACGTGAAAGACATCCATCTGGATCAGGAAGAAAGAAAGCTATTAGATGGAAGTGGTTCAACCATATGCAGTTTGTTAGAGACTGCATTTCACACAGAGCTAGCTCGGGTAACATTGGTTTTGTGTCAACATGCAGTGAAAATGAAAGAGCTGGTTTTTCTGAGACAGATGAAAGCATTGAAATGAATATAATTGATTCATCATTACCATGCAGTAGCATATTGGAAGTTGCTTCTTCTGAAGTAACAAACAACAATCAAACTATTTCACAAAACTTGGATTTAAAAAGAGTGCACAATGATCAATTATCAATTGGTGTGAATAAATCACCAGTGAAGAAGAAAAAAAATGTTGATCGGGAAATTGATATAGCAATCTTGAAATTGTTAAAGGAAGATAATAAAAAGAAAAGTTGTAATGTCAGCTCAAGTGAACCAGATGCAGAAGCTTCTTTTGGAAATTCAATTGCCCACACACTGAGAAGCTTTGACAATTATCATAAAGCTTTGGCAAAAATGAAAATCACAGAAGTATTGTTTCAGATGGAGTGTGAGTTGCCACTCTCAGAAGATTGATCTTGAAATATTGACCAACCCTCATTTCTGCTTGTTGAGGTTGTATTCTCAACATTTTATGTTGATTGAATTTGTTTAATTGTTGATTGTTAATTTATATAATTAATATATGAGGTAGCAAAACATCCTGTTTATGTAAATACCTTTGTGTTATAACTATTTAAAGTGTACAACTGAAAAAAATTAAATGATTACAAAAGCTTGTGGATCAATTTGATCATAAGTGTAATTGTGCATCTAAATTTATTCAATTAATTGACAAAGCAATCTGGTAATGCAAAATTGAAAAACAAAATTAAAGTACAATTGTGTTTATTTTTATTTTTTACACAAAACAAACAAAACAAAAGTCATACCCTATTTGCTAAATAAAGACTGTAATGGCTTATTTAACACAAGGTATAAAATTATAAAGAATTGGTTTCATTTATGTCATTTCCATCTGACCTAACATGTTGCAACTGCCATGAAACCTGACCTGTTCCTGAACAAAAGTAATTTGTAAGCTCTTCTCGAACTTGTGCAGCATCTTTAGTAAAAAAATTGCTTCCTTGTCTATTCAGTGACTGAAGTGTAGCCTCACATTCTGTTAAATGCCTCCACTGGCCAGCAACTAAATTACCTGATCTTCAAATTAAAAGAGAAATAATTAAAAGCCTGTTGGATGGAGTATACAGTTGTATCAAGTGAGTAAAACTAGGAGTTGTCAATCAGCTAAATATTCTCATAATTACAATGTAACTCTAGATGAAGTGAAATTCGATATTGAACTACATTTACAACACGTTACATCTTACGTGTGCTTGAGTCATTTTACACGTTTTCAACGAGTAAAAACAACACAAAATCTAGAGTATGTTAATTTAAAAAAAAGATCTAGAATCATTCTCAAATCTAGTACGAAGGTTTTTTACCTGTCTTCATTGTCTACAAATCCTGGTGGGCAATACATCCTAGATCCAGCAGGTACGTGTTGCTCAGAAATAATGAGATAATTATGCCAAGCAACCACTGCTTTGGAAATTGCTTCCACTTTGCTCGGATGGGCAATAATTTCTTGTCTTAAGATGCGGAAGCGTGATGCGGCTATGCCAAAAGCATTTCCAACAATCCTTCTTGCCCTTGACAAGTGGTAATTCAAAACCCTTTTTTCTTCTGTCAGGTGTTTACCTGGATAAGGACGCATAATGTTGCATCTTAATGGAAATGCTTCATCGGCCACGAACATGTAAGGAATCTTTCCATTTGGATGGGCACCAGCAAGTGGTTTAGGGCATGGTAGACCTAGTTGATTTGTTACTAGTGCTTCACCAAACTGGGAATTCTGCAGAACACCACCATCACTATGACGACCACAATCACCAACATCAACCAAGAGAAAAGTGTAATCAGCTGATACAACTGCAAGTAGGACAATACTATGCCACAGTTTATAGTTGAAATATCTGCTACCAGCTGATGGGGGAGCTTGCATTCTAATGTGCTTTCCATCCATTGCTCCACAACAGTGAGGAAAGTTCCACCTTTTTTCGAACTCTTCTGCTACTTTCTCCCACTCAAAAGAACTCTCTGGAGCTTTAATATATCCTTTCTTAAAGAGAGTAGACCAAATTGCTTCTGTAACTTCACCAATTATTTTATGTACTGTTGTCATACCAATCCTGTAGCTGAATGATAAGCTTTGAGGGCTGTCACCCGACGCCAAATAACGTAAAGTCAAAGCAAGCCTTTCTGACGGAGAAATAGCATCCCTTCTTGTGCTGCATTTAGAGATAAGAGGCGCGACCAGAGATAGTAAAAAATCAAAATGTCGAGGGAGCATTCTGAAGTAGGCAAAATAGCTTTCGTGATCTTCTTCTTTCATTTCTTTTACCAATCTGAAGTATTCCCCATGCTGTTGTCGTCTTTCGAATATCGGCCTAACCCAAAAACGCTTTCTATACTTCTTGCATCTTCGCATACGACGTCTTAAATACAGTAATAACAAAATACGGCGATTGACAACGGCCGCCATATTGTAAGCAAAAACAAACCGCCATGTAATATATTATGAAGCAAAGCAAAGAGTGGAAATTGGCAGCGCGAGCTGATACTCCTCGCAAGCTCGCAGCGAGAGCATTTTGCGATGAGTGGAAAAGAGCCTTTAGCTCTTTAGTTTCCAACGATTACACCACTAAAGACTTATTCACTTTCGTCGACGAATTCAACAACCAAGACATCAACAGCAAATATATCGTTTCCTTTGATGTCAAGAGCCTCTTTACTAACATTCCACTAACTGAAACAATAGACATCGCACTCGACTTATTTATACAACAACCCAACTTTCAAATCAACAGATATGACTTAAAACAATTGTTCAACATCGCTACATCACAAACCCACTTTCTCTTTAACGATATCTTACCTTGACCGCCACCCAAATTTGCACGAAGGTCCTTTGCGTTCTATGAGCAATCAAGCACAGTCAATTCACAACAGTTGGGAGCACAGTGCATCATTTCAATGCCACCACTTGTCTTAAGTTGAGGAAGACACAAATGACTTACATTGTCGTCCAATGAATTTAATGTTATTTTACTGACAACATTTTCTTCATCTTCCATGTCGAGTTTTATCTTTTTTACTCCTAGCCTGGCCTTAAATAGGATCTCCTTGACCAGCGACGATGGTGCTTTGCGAGCTAGATGCTTAGCCAAGCAGACGAAAGTCGGTGTCCAAGGATGGCTCTATGATAATGAATGCTTACGAATATTCCCAGTCGCATTTCTAGATGCAGCACGTGTGCTATTGCGGCTATTAGACCTTCGTGGGTTAAAAAGCGATAGTCGCTCTTGAAGAATGTCGTTTGTCTGGCTTGTGGAAGGTTCGGTTTCATCTATTATGGACCTTACGTTCTACCGACAGCAATGCGAACGGCAACGGCAACGTGGGTGTAAATACGTGTACGCATGCGCCGATCAAAATAGTGCCGTTCTGGCTAAGCGTGCCCGACGCCATTCTCTTTAATTTGACGTTGTGCGAGAACGGCATCGATAAATTGCACAAACAATCGATGTCTTCTGAAAGAACAACATCAAGGTAAATTGTTTTGATATTAGACTAGTTATTTATTATAATTTTACAAGTATTGAGGCTTTAAAATATCATGTTAAGTCAAAGCTTCACTTGCTTTTGTATTTCTGTTTATATTTTTATTATAACTCTGAAGGATGAATTATTTAACTGCAATATACTTCGAGGTTACATTATTTTGCTAAGAAATCGTATTTTTCTTTTCAATTAGTGTTCCTATGAAATGGACTGAGCTGCATGATCAGATATTTGTACGAGAAATTTTGTTGATTCAACCATGGAGCAGTAAGAAAGCATCTCCTGAAAGAGGAGAAGCATGGATGAAGATAGCTACTTCATTGAATTCTTTGGAAACACCAACTTTTCGTGTAACTCAAAGGTCCGTACGTGATCAATATGCTGTGCTTGAAAAGAAACATAAGAAGAAAATACGTGATGAAAATCTTGCAAGTGGAATATGCCAGGAGAATGAAGTAGATCTTGGCATGGATGAAATTATTACATTGTTTCATGAAGCTGATATGGAGCACGAAAGAGCATCAAAGGAAAAGAAAAGAAAACTTGAGGAGGAAGCCAGTCAGGCAGCTGAAATGAGACAGCAATCCCTTGAATCGTTTGGTGAAACTCGCAAGAGATCAGAGTTTACTGATTCTGAGGTTAAAACTGCCAAAAGAAAATGCAGTAGTGGTTCTAACATGGTTTTGTATTTAAGAGAAAAAAGTGAGAGAGAGGCTGAGTTGAAGAAAAAGGAATTGGAAATAATGCAGCAGCAAACTGACAAAGATTATGAATTAAAAGAAAATGACATGAAACTTAGAAAAGAAGCAATGGAAGTAGCCCAAAATCAAATAATTCTGTGCTGAATCAGCTTATCAAACTGCAAAGGACTCAACAACAGCAATTGATGCAGTTGATGAGGCACCAGCAGGAGCAAAGTTCATGCATGATGGCCCTTTTGAATAAGTTAACTTCTGGAAAATGAGCAATGACATAGACTATTACCAGAGAACAGCCTCCTTATTTTGTTTATGCTGTGATGATAACAGATCAAAGTAAACTTGTTTACAAATCTCAACTGTTTCAGTTTTTTAAAGTAAATATGTAAAAAAGTATATGCAGTTTCATGCTGTCTTTCATATTTTACAACTATTGTGCAAATGTTTAAATTTTTGCATTTAAATCCATTTATTAATGTTCTGTTTTGAAACAATTTCTTATGAACAATGGCGTTTTTTTAATCATTTACATGAAGTAATTGTGTATAGTTGGTGGGTCAATGCCAAAGTATTTTGCTGTTGTTGTCCCATACAGGCATGCCCTTGCATTTTCTATAAGAGCACACACAACATACATTTTCCCAACTGCACTCAAACGTACTTTCAAATTTTTTTTAAAGTCTACAAATTTGAAGTAATTTACAATGTCACCAAACAACCATTCATCAGCTATTCTCACTTGACTCATAGATTTATTCCATTGTTTGTGTTGTTCTGTAACTACAGCTACTCGGAAAGGGCCCTGTAATTGTGGTCTGAGGGTATGCAGGATCACCATATATGCATAAAATATCCCCTTGCATGTTAAATGAATATTGCTGCAACATGTTGAGAATACCAGATTGGGCAAGCATTGCGCTATCATGCCTTTTTCCTTCGACTGGACCATAAAGATTAGCTATCATGCCTGATGGTGTTGCAATGGATTGAAACTTAATAGCATGAACTTTCTTGTGTCCATTATAAAGTGTACGTTGCAATCGACCTGGTCGTGCAACAGGACGAACAGTCCCGTCGATAAACCCCCAGCAGTTGTTAAGAGCTGCACCCTTTTGGTGTATAACTGTGGCAAATTCCTCTAAATTTTCTGGTTGCAACCATGCCTGGTTAAGATCAGTGAGCAAATGATGCCATCGTTCATGAATTACGTTCAGAAATTGATTCGATATCATGCACAACTGAGGTTCAGGTCTGGCAAATCTATGAATCATATCAACATATCTGCACGGATAAGCAAACCTCTTCAAAAAAATACATAGCCCCTCAATGTTGTCTACTTTTAGTCCATTATAGCATTTTATTTCCCCAGGCAACTCCAATATTTCAGCAAGGTTGTAAATATCATTTCGAAAGAAGCGAAATTCTGCTAAACATTCATCATCCGTCATTCGATCTAAATCGAAGTCTTCATAACGCCAAAATGGTATCCTAGGGCTTTTGGGTTTATTCACATCGTATAGCAGAGCAAATTCTTCGTCATCTATCGCGTTCAAAGCATGAGCGAACACAGTAATTTCCCTAAGACTCGGCATATTAAAATTTAATGAATCTTTATTTACACACAAAAGTCATGCAGTCGTAAGCAGATTAGCACATGCAATCGTAAGGTTAAATTTAAACGGGAAACGGCAACGTCAACCGCGCGACCGTTCCAGTCCCCTAGAGTTGCCGTTGCCGTTGCAGTCGCTTAATCGTAAGGTCTCTACTATCTTTAATCATATAGCACCGCGTATAACGGTCAAAGCACCGTGTATAATGATCAAAGCACGGCATATAATGGTCAAAGCACCCATTGAAATAAATTTGCACGAAATGAATCGAATCTAGTGCCATTTATACTATTAGAGATTGGAATGTGAATCTAATCCACCATCATTTTTACTGTAAGAAATTGGAATGTGAATCTAATCTAGCACCATTTTTACTATAAGAGATTAGAATCTAAATCTCATCTAGCGCTATTTTTACAATACTATAAGAGATTGGAGTGTTAATCCAATCTAGTGCAATTTTTAAGAAATATAAGTCAGATAACAAAACTGCATGAAGTTTCACATAGTTTAGAAAATGATGAGGTTTCGCATAAAAACATGGAACAGTCATAAAATATTTAATGTTTTGCACAAAATCATATCTTATCACAATACTCAGAGAATGAATTAGCCAGACAGCCATGGACAGTTCAATGAATCATTTTCAATTTTCATAGCCATGACAATTAAATCCTGCCTTTGTCTCATCAGTTTTTTTTATAATTTTTGTTAAAAATACTTTGCTGTTGATTCTCCCAGCTACATAAATGATTTTACTGCAAGGTCAACATGCACACGCTTTATAGTAGTGAGATTAGATCTCAAGAAAATAAAATATAAATAAAATGAGACACCACACTTCAGTGGGTATTATCACTAAAAATCTATATAACAACAGAAATAAATTTAAAATAGGTTAATACTATTAAAGTATATCTAAGTTGTGTATAGGACTCTCCCGAAGCGAGAAACCGCAGCGTCACACACAACTTGTCGTGAGCAGGAATGGATTCACGCATAGTAGTGTTTTTCCTGTAATGAGTGGCTTCAATTTTTCTAGTAATTCGTCAAACAGGCTGACATCCATTCTTCAAAACAAAGAACCAAGCAATTTTAGAATTTAAATTACGAAAAATAGTTTATGAACAATCTCTGTTTCAAACTTCGAAACTCACCGGAAAAAATTATTGAAGGCTCTATCATCGACTGTTCTGAGTTCTTGGATTAGATTACATGCAAAACCTTGTCTTTGTCGACGTTCCTGTGTGGCCCATTGACGAACCCACCAACGGCGATTTAAGTGCCTCTGAGTACTCGTATTGCATAAATAGTGTTATGCCTATGCCACAAGCAAGCATCCGTTTGTGTTTACTCAAATATGGCATCGCTGAACAGCCGACGATTGTTTACTTTGATCATCGCTGATTTTCCCGCGTATTCTCTTTGATATATGCTGTGCTATTATATCGCGGGCCGCAACATTTGTCACACAAAATTTTTTGATTGGTACAGACGGTGTGAAAGAAAATATGCCACATGAAAAACTTGCCATAGAAAATTTGCTGCACATACACATGGACATTTGTCACAAAAAAATGGTAACATAGAGTTTTGTCATAGAAAATTTGTTC